AAATAAAAATAAAAGCAAAACCAAAACCAAAACTCCTCTAAAGGAAGCTTGGAAAACAAACAGGAAGCAAATGATAAACGCACTTGGAGAGCAAGAAATCGGCTTCTCCAGGGAAGAGCATTCTAACTGCTTATCCATTTCCAAATGGTCAGCCCTGAACACGTAGATACAAGGAACATTATACAGAATGAGAAGCTTATATATTATATATATAATATATATATATATAATATATATAATATATATAATATATATATATATATACATGTAGCAGCAATTAATGAAGAAAGGAGGACATGAGTTTAAAAGAGAGCAAAAAGAGATCTTTGAGAAGGAGAGAGGAAAGGGAGGGAAAATGATATAATTACAATCTTAACACTAAATTAAAAAGCACGTTCTATTTAATAATTACTCTAAGGTTGTTTTTTTTTTTTGTTTGATGACCTCAATCCATGTGCTGTGACTCAAGGTCATACATTTGTTGACAGTTTCTGAGGAAATTATGAAGAATAAGTGGTTCTCCTTTACCACTTATCATTTTAAAATTTTGTTTGTGTACAGTTGTATACACACATGTGTGAGTCTCTCTGTGTGTATGCTTGTATGCCTGCAGGTGCACACACACACACACACACACACACACACACACACACACACATTTATACTCCTCAATTGATTTACATGTTTAACATTCTTTTTTTAGAGGCAAGGGTCTCATTATGTAGCTCAGGCTGTCTTCAAACTAGCCATCTTCCTGTCTTCTCCTCTCTAAAGTTTGGGATTGTAGTGTGAAATTTTAATCAAATTTACATACTGTGTATAAGTTGGACATTATCTGATAAGATGCAAGACTGTTTTAAAATTTGTGATGAAGTCATGTTAATGAAAGCTCTGGCTGGGGAGAGTGATATCAGAAGACTGGCTAATGAGAACAAGCAAATGATACCAAGCATGGTAGGCGTGGAGGCTGCATTATGTGTGCAATGAAAACTGAGCTGAGTGACAAAGAGAAACTTATTCTACTGCTTAGTCTTTTTAAATGGGGGTGTCTTAGATGTAAGGATAAAAATCAAAAGAATTTGAAATGCCATGATAATCATTATGTTAATAGTGCCAGAAAGTTAATTAAATCCCCAAACTTAATTTAACGCCGAATTTATAATGATCCACAGTTTCACCTGCATGAACAAAAATTCATATATATTTATAGATCTTGTGTCTGAAGTAGGCAAAAAGTGAATTAACTCCAAGGTTGGCTGGTATGTTGAAGCCAATTCTTAGCCAAGAAAGCAAAATGAACATTAGATTATGAGCTTTAAATTTTTCTTCTTGATGACATACTGGAATTTGGGATTCAGGTAAGCTCCCAATGTGTGTGTCAAAGGAGGGAAAGCTAAAGTTTCACTTGAAGGCTAGCAACAGCTTTGAATTTGGAGCCTCTCATGAGTCCTGGATGAACCAGAAAAATAGAGCAATTTATTCAAGGCAGGATTTTAATTTCCTTTATGTTCTTCATAGGCTCATAAACTTGGATAGAGAGGTAGGGACTCATTATACAGTGTGTATATGACGTAGATGATGAAGGATTAGATTTTAATATGATCCACATTAGACTTTGAGTGTGAGTTCCAGCACTGTTGTGTACTGGTGTCATGAGCTGGGGCATGGCACTGAACTCTTCTGCCTTGTTGTCCTCATTTTCATATTTTAGACTATGGTTGCTTCTATAAAGGGTCTTTTTTTTTTTTTTTTCTGAGAACCAGAGATGACAAATACAGTGTTTAAAAATGGAACCCAATCGCCTTTGTCTGGGTGTTCAGTGGCCTCTAGAGGTTAATGTAGTAAGGACCCAATTGTGAGGGCGGTGCTACAGAGAGGTAGTGTACCTGGTAGGAAGATCTCTAAGGGGCACTTCTGTCACTGTGGACATGCCTGTGAAGGAGCCTGGAGGACCTCGCTAGTTATGGATTGTGATGGTAGTGGTCTGCATGCCTCCACAATTCACTGGGCTTATGGGAGGCTCCAAGACCCTGTCTGATGAACTTGACCTATAGCTTCCAAAACTCAGTTCTGGCCTTTTTCCTTTAAGCCTTTTATTTTTTTTCTTTTCAAGTGAATTATGTCAGATATTTGATTATGGTGAAAGAAAGCTGACTAACACACGAGTAAACAGTTAATATCCAATGAGTTGTGTATTTAAATATAACTGGAAAACGACAGAAGTATTAACTTGTATCTCTCCCTATTACTGCTCTTTGAGGCAATTAAGCTCCGTTATACAGTAGATAATCTTTATCATAAAGTTCTGAATTGGGTCAGCCTTTTCAGGTTTCCTGAGGAGTATTCAATGCCTCCACTGACACAGGATAAGGAGACCTCTCTGTATTTCTGCAATTTTCCCATGGTTTCCAAGCTTTACTGACTGAATTAGCTTTGTAGAGAATATGCATAGAACATTTTCTTCGTTCTTTCTCTTTTCCTTTCTCTCTCTTAAACTGGGAATTGAGCCTAGCACTTCAAGCATACTAAGAATATACTTTACTATTTACCTATACTCCTCAGGCTCCCCTTAACTCACTTATTTTCATAAAGATTCACTTTTATTTTTGTGTGTAGTGTGTGTTGTGTGTCTGTGTCTGTCTGGGTGTGTCTGTGTGTGAGAGACAAAAAGAAGCAGGGAGGGAGAGAAAGAGGAAAAGGAGAGGGAAAAGGAGAGGGAGAGGAGGAGGAAGGAGAGGAGGAGAAAAAGAAGGAAAGAAAGGGAGAATTGCTGGGAGAGGGACAGGGAGAAGAAGCACATGTATGTTTTCCAGTGACTACAGAGGCTAAAGCAGGGCATCAGATTCTCGGGAGGTGGAGTTACATGACTTAACAGTGCCTGATGTGGCTGTGTGGAATTCTGGTTCTATGAAAGAGTAGCGAGAACTCTCAGCTGCTGAGTCAATTCCCACTTCTTTCATTTAAAAATAACAATTGGGACAAGGTCTTGCTCATTTATACAGGCTATTCTTAAACTTGTTGTCTAAACCAGGCAGGACTTGACCTTGTAATCTTTGTGCCACAGACTTTGAGTAGCCAAGATTATAGGCCTGTACCATGAGAACAAGTACAGAATTATCAATTGATCATAACCTCAGGCTTCATACATTTGCAGTTTTAAGAAAATAGGAAATATCCTTTTTTAATTCACTAACCATTTACAAAATTTTCTTATAATTTAATCTCAATAAATACTGTAAAATCAACTTTGCCAACTTGTCTTTAGTGCTTAGGCCAACATAAAACTAAGATTTGTATCTTTCTAAAGCATGCAACACCTTTATCTATGGCTCCCATGTATTTTTAGAATTGATGCATTGTCACTTATAAGTAGATGCCATATAAAGCAATTAATCCGATTATTCTTAACACTTAATAGAATTAGGTTTTAATCGTGTTAGGCATATCATTTTGATTTTAAGCAACCCAACAAATGAGATGTCAGTCTCATTTCAGATTTCCAAAGAAGGTTATTTATAAATATACAAGTGGTAGTTGTATGGCGGATCAAGGGTCACCTAATGATGACTCCAAGAGGAATTAGGAAAATGCTGAGACTTGGGGACTGCCTGAATCAGAGACACTTTCAAATACTAGTGCTGACCAGTCCTGACTCCCACAGACTTACTAGAGGCAGAATGGGCAGCAGAATGGTGTGTGTGTGTGTGTGTGTGTGTGTGTGTGTGTGTGTGTATTCTTATCTTGACTTAACTACACTGAGACCAAGCAGATAATTTAAGGTCTTCCTATTTGTATTGCATGAACAATTTAACTTGCCATCAACAGTGATCAGGTTTATTAAATGTTATGAGTTTACTTGCACTCTTCTAGAAGCCTTGATGGATTTTTTTTTTTCTAGAATGTTTGTTGTTTGTTTGAATTGGGGCATTGCTGCTGGCTAAACTGGCCCCCAGCTCTCAGTCCTCCTGATTTCCTGCTTCAGCTTTCCCAAGTTCTGCTGTCACAGGTGTGGGACTACACATCTAACCTTTCCAGAGTTTTAAGAGTTTTAAAAGTTTTAAATAGTGACTTGACTAAGTCGCTCCAAATATTTGCTATTACTGAAGAATACAGTGTTTAGCTGGTCTTAAACCATTTTTCTCTGGTTGAAAAACACTTTTGGATTGCTTGTGTAGATTCAGTTCTCAAGTCTCCAACTGTTCACTGAAACCATTTCTCTTACATTTAAAATTAGAATATATTTTCTGAAACTTTTAAGTAGTTAGATGAACCACGAGGTCAAATGCTGCACTGGCTCATGAGCACAAAGCACTCTGCCAAAGCTTGGGTGAGGTGGGGGTGGGGTCAGAAGAGTGGTAATGTGTCCTCTGTGGGCCTGTTTTCTTCCCACTGGGCAAAAAGGAGTCTGCTCTTTGCAGAACAGCTTCAGAAGCTCCAGAATAAAGATGCAGACCCGTCAGGTAGACTTTCCAATTTGTTGCATGTAGAACAGGAACAAGGTTCTTGCTCTTGATAATATCCAGGTGTCGTCTAAACTTATTATATCTTGAAAGTAGGGTGTGTTTGAATATACTTGTTTTAACAGCTTAGCATCCACCAACTAGTATAGATGCTTGTTTTATAATTACACACTCCTACTAAATTCACAAGGGAGTAGAGATAGCTTAAATATCACGCTAGTACTTCTTACTTTGTCAAAAGTTATTTCACATGTGTTACTGTTTGCAAGTGTTAAGATAATCTTTACAAAATAGAAACTGGAAACACACACACACACACACACACACAATAAATACCATGATAAAAACTTTGAAAAGAAGTAACATATATTTTAAAAACTTTCTTTACTGTGTAGAAAATCTAAAGAATAACTAAAAAATAATTTAAAAAATCAGATTCAATTTGATGTAATCTTGATGATTCATATACTTGACAGATTTACTTTTCTGGTTCAAATTATGAACTAGAAAACTTCCTGTTGAAATAAGAATTGTCCTTACCTGCTAAAGAAGACATGTTGATGATGACACCACCTTCACCTCCATTTTGCTTACTCATGTAATCCAAACCAAGGTAGGTTCCACTGATAACAGAAACCTGATTCAGGAGCATAAGCAGAAAATGTGATACAGCTTTATCATACTTTTATTATATGCCCACATACCAAAGACATTGTTAACTCAGGCATATAGGAAGATCTGCAAGTATAATCAATGAGAGATTGGCATGTGTTAAAGTTTTAATTGATCATGATTTGTTTTTTGCCTGCCTAATGTTAATGTAACTTATCATAGTTTCATAATTTTACTTATCTTAGTTGCCTAAAATGAGATTTTTTTATCACAGAGGTTTACTTTAGCAGTCTTTTCTACTTTGATTCAATTCCCACCACTGTGTAACAACTCTATTTATTTTTTCTTCTTTTCTACATACTGAAGACAATTTTTTTTTCTCACAATGTCTTTGTCATACTCAAGCAGTCTATATTCACTTGCCCTGTATAATTGTCAAGGTTCTTGCATTACAGAAGAGTAGATGAAGTTGTTTATAGCTTTCATTCTGTTTTGCTCTTTGAATCTAATTTAAGCTTTATTTTTATTGGTATAAATCCGTAGTGACAATTTCTCTTAAATATATGATGTATTTTGAATATCTTCATCCTCATCCTTTCCCCTTTATCTTCTCTCCTCTTCTCCTAATCTTCCTCTCCCAACACCCTCATGTGTTCATGTCATATATATGTTTGTATATACACATGTATGTATGTGCATACAATACTCGCCCATATATATTTGCAGTTTGACAGATAATCTAGGATTCCCAAATGAGAGAAAACATGTGATGTTCTTTCTAAGCCTGGAGCATTTTTCTCAAAGAACATAAATTTCTTATTTCGGATTGAATCCATTGCATTTATATGTTACATTTTCTTTATTCATTCATCTGTCGAAGGGCACCTAGGAAGGTTAACTAGCTATTTTGAATAATGCTGCAATAAACAAGTAGTAGCAGATAATCTTGCGTTATACTGACTTAGAGCACTTTGGCTCTACAGCTAGAGGTAGGGTAGGCCATGTGCCAGCTCTACTTTTAGGGTAGCTCTGTTTGGAGGAATCTACATAATGATTTCCATCCTGACTAAATGAATGCATTTTTATTTTATTTGTTTTTGAGATTATAAGTAAATTACAAAATTTCTCCCTTCTCTTTTCTTCATATACCTCTACATACCCTATATGTCCTCCCGATTCTCCTTCAAGTGCATGGATGTGGCTTATATTCTGCTAGTTTAAATATATATATATATATATATATATATATATATATATATATATATATATATATTTCAGGACTCCCTGCCTAGGCATAAAATATTCCATGGTAGGCTGAACCTGTCTACATCAATTAACGAGAAAGTCACCCACAGATATGTCCTTTGCTCTAGGCAGTTCCTCAGTTGAGGCTCTCCTCTCAGAGGACTCTAGGCTGAGTTGAATGTTACAGCTAACCAGGATGTGTGCTTCTAAAACTTGATGTACATTTTAAAGCATTTGACCTGCACAACACAGTAATTAAATACTAGCAATAGTGTTTTTTTTAAATCACAGTCTCTTATTCATTGTTACCGCACATATATTGCTTTATTGAAAACAGATTTTTCCTTACATAATATATCCTGATTACTCTTTCCCTTTCCTCTGTTTCTCCAAGTTCCTCACCACCTCCTCTTCTATCCAAATCCACCCTTTTCTGTCTTTCATCGGAAAACAGGCTTCTAACAGAATACAGTATAATATATAATATAGCAATATCACATAAAACAACTAATATTGAAATAGGACAAAACAAACAGAAGGAAAAAAGCCCAAGAAAAAGCACACACACACAAAAAAAATGGATATAGACTCGGAGAGCCACTCATTCAGACACTCAGGAATCCCATAAAAACCACTTCATCATTTCAGAATTATTTGTTTCCTTCATTAGCCATTTATTGATTGTGTTTTCTGTTTTACTTTGTGATTGTTTTTTTTTTCCTCTTGAGTTTTATATTCTGGTTACTAATTTTCTATTTCAACAGTGGTTTGCCACCTTCCTAATGCTGCAACCCTTCAACGCAGTTCCTCATGTTGTCATAACTATCAGCCATTAAATGATTTTTGTTGCCATTTCACAACTGGAATTTTGCTACTGTAAATATTTTATATTCCCGATATCTGATATGTGACTCTTGTTAAAGGATTGTTTGACCCCCAAAGAGGTTGTGACTAACATGTTGAGAAACACTGCCACATTAGATTAATGATTAGGAAAGAGTTTCTTCCCTATTCAGTAGGCTCTCTCTCTTCACTTGGGTGTTTATTTTGCTATGAAGAAGATTTTGACTATTACCTATCCTATCTGTCAGTCATTACTATTATTTCCTAAGGATTTGAGTCCTTTTCAGATAGCTCTTGTGTATCTTAAAGTATTTACTCAGTGTTTTATTCTAACAGTTCCAGAGTTTTAGTTCTTTATAAGGTTTCAGGTACATTTTGAGTTTGTTTTTGTACAACCTGAGAGACAGAGATCTAACCTCATTCTACAGGTATATATACCTAGTTTTCTGAGCACTGCTTGTTGAAGAGGCTGTTTTCTCCAATGTACGTTTTTAGCATCCCTGTAAAACTTCATAGTTTCAGCTATGAGGGTAAAAATGTGAGTTTTCTCCTTTCTTCCCTTCCCTTCCCTCCCCTTCCCTTCCCTTCCCTTCCCTT